AAGAGGTTTTGTTGGTATCTCCAGCCAACAAGCTAACTATCCCTTCTTATATTCCAGAAGTGATCAGGGAGCTACTTATGAAAATCACAAACTGAGTGTAAAGAAGGCCCAGACCTATAATCCCAGCACTCCAGAGACTGACGCGGAGGCGGGGCAGGGGCAGGGGCAGGGGTGCCACAAGTTTGAGGCTAACCAGGCCTAACAAGACCCTGTCCCAAAACAACATTAGAAACATTGTGCTCTAGTGTCATCAAGATATAATTAATGAGGAAATCAAAATGAGAGGAAAGTATAGGCAGACATAGAGCTGTGGCCTTTTAGCACACAGAGTCACAAAGACTACAAGAAGCAGAGGTGGCGTTGGCCTTTGCTTTCCTTAGCAGCTGGAGCATAAAAGAAAATAAGATCTGATAGAGAATTCTTCATTTTATGTGTGTGCTGTGCATATGTGTATGTCTGTCCACATATGTGGGTGCACATTGTATGCAGGTGCATGTGTGTATGTAGATGCATGTGCACATGGGTGTGTGTGCATGTGGAGGCCTGAGGCCAACATCAGGTGTCTTCCTCAATCTGTCAGGTCTCTCAGTGAACCCAGAGCTCACTGATTCAGTTAGTCTAGCTGGCAAGCTTGCTCCGGGGATTCCCCTATGTCCCATGTGCTAGAATGACAGGCAAGCCACCACTCTTGCCTGGCATTTATGTGGGTGCTGGGGATCTAAACTCAAGTCCTCATGTTTGCATGACAAGCACTTTACCCATTGAGCCATCTCTCCAGTCCCTACTTACTTGTTTTCTGAGACAAGTTCTTGATATATAGCCCAGGTTGGCCTCAAACTTGCTATGTAACCCAGGTTGACACTGAACTCCTGATTCTCCTACCTCCATCTCTCAAGTGCTGGCATTACAGCCATGTGCTACCCTGCTTGGTTCATTAGAGAATTCTTAGAATCCACAAGGGAACCAGAATCCATTGGTGAATTCTCAGGATCCATGGGATAGAAATGAATCTGTTGTTCAGCATCTGCACGCCTTTGTTTGGTACTGGAATACTGTGTGAAATCTAGACAGTATTCGAATGATATTCCAGCTCTCAGATTTTTATTTCTTTTTATCTTCATGCGAGTGATTGAACCCAGGGCCTCTCACATGCCAGGCAAGCAGAGCCGTACCCTCTGCCCCTCTGTAAGACAATTTTATGGGTGCTGTTTTTTCGTGTTTTGAGACAGGATTTAACTTTCTTCTTGGAGGGGAGTATTTTTGTAGCCCCAGTTGGCCTGGAACTCACTATGTAGACCAGGCTAGCCTCAAATTCACAGAGATCCGCCTGCCTCTGCCTCCTAAGTGCTGGGATTAAAGGAGTGCACACCTGGCTAACTTCTTTTAAAAAAATATTTTATTTATTATTTTTATTTTGTGTGTGAGTGTTTTGCCTGCATGTATGTTAGTGCCTCTATGTCATACAATGCTCAGGGAGGTCAGAAGAGGGCATCAGATTCCCCTGGAACTGGAGTTACAGATGGTTGTTAGCTACCATGTGGGTGCTGGAAATTGAACAGCCAGTGCTCTTAACCACTGAGCCATCTCTCCAGTCCCTTAACTTTCTTCTTTAAAATATTTTATTTATTATTTTTATTTTGTATATGAGTATCACCTGCATGCATGTAAGTGCACCTGTGTGATGCAATGCCCTTGGAGTGTCAGATCCCCCTAGAACTGGAGTTACAGATGGTTGTTATCTGCTATATGGGTACTGGGAATCAAACTCAGGTCCTCTGCAAGAGCAGCCAGTGCTCTTAACCACTGAGCATTCTCTCCAGCCCCAACTTTCTTCTTTAAAAAAAATTTTTTTTAACATTTATTTAGTATGTCTGTGTGTCTGTATGCACACATGGAGGGCAGAGAACAACTTGCTGGAGTCAGTTCTCTCCTTCCATCCCTGGGTTCCAGGGATCAAGCTCTGGTTGTCAGGCTTGGTGGCAGGCAGACGCCTTTACAAGATGAGCCTGATCCCTGGTCGTCAGGCTTGGTGGCAGGCAGACGCTTTTACAAGATGAGCCTGATCCCTGGTCGTCAGGCTTGGTGGCAGGCAGACGCTTTTACAAGATGAGCCATCTCACCAGTTTCCCTCCCTCTCATTTTCCTTTTCTTCTTTCTTTTTTTTTAAGTAGTTCTAGGGGTTGAACCAGGGGCCTCATGCATATGCACTGTAGGCAAATACTCTACCGAGTTACTTCTCCAGAGAGGCAGGTTTTTTTTGTTTTAATTTTTATTTTTTGAGACAGAAACTCCCTGTAGCCCCAGCTGACCTGGAACTCACTATGTAGACCAGGCTGGCCTCCATCTCACAGAAATCTGCCTGCCTGTGCCTCAGAGTGCTGGGATTAAAGGCCTGAGCTACCACTCCTAGCCCCAAGGCAGGGTTTTATTACATAGCTCAGGCTAACCTTCAACTCACAGCAGTGTTCCTGCCTCAGTCTCCTGAGTGCTGGGATTATAGGCATGAACCACTATGCTCAGTTCCATCTGTGTTTGTCTGCTTGGGCTATCATAACAAAATATAGACTGGGTGAAATGAACGACAGAAATTAATACCCCCACCCCCACCCCAGAAGGCTAGAAGTCCAAGATGAAGGTATTGACAAGTTTGGCTTCTGAAGTCTCTCCTGGTCCAGGACAGATGCCTTCTATGTTCTCTCTCTCTCTCTCTCTCTCTCTCTCTCTCTCTCTCTCTCGATAATGTCTACTGTCTCCTGAGTACTGGGGTTTTAGGCATGGGCCACCATCCCTCGCTCTCCTGTGTCTTCATGTAGCGTTTTCTCTGTGTGCATCCTGAGATCTGTGTTCAGATAATTGGATTAGAGCTTACTACTGGCCTCATTTTAACTTATTCCTTCAATCCAGGTGTGATGTCCACATAGAGTCACATTCGGCAAAGTAGAGGTTAGAATTTCAACATACGAACCTGATGGGAGGACAAAATTCAGTCCAAATGCCTTCCCTCAATTCTATGACAGAAGAAAGTGTTCCAGGAACACAGGTTTCTGGAGATCTTCCCTGCTCTAGCGCAGGAGACTTAGACTATCAAGTGATACATAGAGTAGTCCTGACCCATGGATATTTTTCTCTTTTGAGAAAGTCTAGTAAGAATTGAACTTTGGGGGGTCCTTAGCTAAGCTGTGGAATCCTGTTTTGATTTCCACTGTCCTCTACCATCTCTGGTCTTTGAATTTCTCATAACAACCACATAGTTTGGGTTTATCCTGGTCGGCCACTAAGCTTGAAGGTGTCAATCTATGTGTGCAGAGTCCTATCTCTTGTGCAGAAGAGGCAGAGGGAAAGCTAAGAGTTTGTGTGTTTGCACTTACAGTGAACCTCCTGCCTCAGCTTCCCAAGTTCTGGGATTATAGGCATGAGCCAGTTACTATACCTAGTTTCAAATTAGTTTTAAAAATTTGTCTCTAGATTCTTTGTTGTTTTTTAATGTAGACATCATATCATCTGCCTTTGGGAGTTTTGAAACATTTGACTATATTATCTACTTAAGAGCTGAATAATAGGGGCTAGAGAGATGGCTCAGCAGTTGAGTGTGTACTGTTCTTCCAGAAGACCCAAATTTGATTCCTAGCACCCACATCAGGCAGCTCACAACCACCCATAACTCAAGCACTGAATGTATGTGCACAAACACACATGATACCCATAATTTAAAAATAAGAAAGCAAAAATGTCTTTAAAAAGAGTTGAGCCAGTTGTGGTGGCACACGCCAGTAGGATATGCTGAAGAGGCAGAGGCAGGAGGATCACGAGTTGGAGGCCAGCCTGAGCTACACATTTAGCCAAGTGTGGTGGCGCATGCCTTAATCCCAGCACTTGGGAAGCAGAGGCAGGCGGATCTCTGTAAGATGAAGGCCAGCCTGGTCTACATAATGAGTTCCAGGCCAGTTGGAGCTGCAGGGAGACCAAAAAAAAAAAAAAAAAACAGTTCAATAATATATTTAAAATCCTCTATTCTAGTCACATTTTGTGGAGGAAGCTTAGACTGGAGGCTAGCAAGGCATCCCAGGGCAATAGCTCTTTTTAAAAATATTTTATGTGTATGCGTGTATTACCTGCATGTAGGTAAGTCACCCATGTCTTGCAATGCCCTCAAAGAACAGAAGAGGCTGTTGGATCCCCTGGAACTGGAGCTACAGGTAGTTGTTAGCTGTCATGTGGGTGCTGGGATTCAAACCCTGGTCTTCTGCAAGAACAACCAGTGTTCTTAACCACTGAGCTATCTCTCCAGCTCCCCAGGCAATAGCTCTTAACCTCAGGTCCAGGCGATGAATAGCTGGCTTCCTTGAATGGGCAAGTTAGAAATTTATAGAGGAAGGTGGGGGATACAGCTCAGCTGGTAGAGTGCTTGACCCTGGGTTTGGTTCCCAGCATTACTATGCTGGATAGCTTTAGTGTCAACTAGACACACCTGGGTTGAGGGAGCCTCCATTGGGGAATTGCCTGCATTGGACTGGCCTGTGGCCATGTCTGTGGGGCATCTTCTTGATTGTTGAGTGATGTGGGAAGGCCCAGCCCACTGTGGGTGGTGCCACCCCGGGCAGGTGGACCTGTGTTGCATAAGAAAGCAGGCTGAGCAGGAAGTGAACAGAGTTCCTCCATGGCCTGTGCTCCAGCTCCTGCCTCCAGGTTCCTGGCCTGAGTTCCTACCTTGGGTTCCTCTGCCACAGCAGCCAGTGCTCTTATCTGTTGTGTCATCTCTCTGTCTCTCCAGCCCAATGGCCTCATATTTGACCACAGTCATTATCTGGGACATTTGGACAGTTTATTACATTATTGTGATGAAGGCACATCTGATATGAAGGTCACCAGGATGATGACTGCATGTGTGCGTGCATGTGTGCATGTGTGTACAACCTTGGGCACTACTCAGGGGCCATCTACCTTTAGATGATGTTTCTGAGCTAACAGGTGTGTCTGCCCTCCTTCCTCTTTGTATTTAGCGTTCACCATCAACAGCATCCACATGGAGAGCCTGCCAGCCTGGGAAGTGTTGAATGGGCACAACCTGACCCTAAAGTGCCTGGTGGATATCAGCACCACTTCACAAGTCAGGCCTCAGCACCTGGTGCAGTTCTATAAGGACGACGTGATGCTGAACAACGTCACCTCCACAGAGCACACAGAGAGCTACTTTATCCCCCAAGCTCGGGTCTTCCACTCAGGAAGATACAAATGCACTGTGATTCTCAACAACAAGGTGAAAACCACTCAGGAGTACCAAGTGGTGGTGAGAGGTGAGTCCTCGGGGTTTGAACGTGGGTGAGCAGATGAAATGTCACACAGGAAGTGCCATGAATAGTCGTTGTGAACGAGCAGTCATACTGACTGACCTGTCCGTTACCCATCGCCTTGCTAACTCACCGGCCTAGCAGTTTCCTAACCTGAAAATCCAGGCATCAGACACATTCCGCATCAGTGTTTCTAACTTCCTTACCTTTGCAGGTGCCAGGCGTCTCCTGGGAAGACTCTTATTTCATGAACTGCGCTTTCTCCTTCAGGATTCTTCCCTCCTTCCTTCCCTCCTTCCCTTTCTTCCCTCCCTTTCCCTCCCTCTTTTCTTCTCTCCTTCCCTCCTTTTTTCTTCCCTCCCTCCTCCCTCCTCCCTCCCTCGCTCACTCCTCACTCACTCCTCACTCACTCCTCACTCCTCACTCACTCGCTTACTCCTCACGCCTTCCTTCCTTCCTTCCTTCCTTCCTTCCTTCCTTCCTTCCTTTCTTGAAATAAAATCTCCCTGTGTAGCCCAGGCTTAAACCCGAGAATCAATCCTCCTCCCTCAGCCTCCTGAATGCTGGGATTACAGGCGTGCACCCCTACCCCCAGCTAGTCAATGATTTCTTCTCCAACAGTTTTCCCAAACAAAATTAACTTCCCCCAGGGTGCCATTTCTTCCTTCCTTTCTCTCTTTCTCTCTTTCTTTCTTTTCCTTATTTATTTATTTATTTATTTATTTATTTATTATTTTTCGTCTTGAGACAGGGTCTCTCTGTAGCTCCAGCTGGCCTTGAATTCTCAGAGATCTGCCTGCTTCTGCCTCCCGAGTGCTGGGACCAAAGGGGTGCATCACCACGCCCCGCCCAGGGTGTCATTTCTTACAGCTCTTATGCTGTCTCCATATTCAGTGACATTTATTTACACAAAGGCCACAGTGCTGTGTTAAGACACTAGATTGTGCAGTTTCTTCCCATCTGGGCAAGTTCTTTAGACAAACTAAACTTCCAAATCATGGGCCAGCAAGAGGGCTCAATAGGTAAAGGTGCCTGCTACCAAATCTAGAACCTAAGTTCAATCCCCTGGACCCATATCGTAGAAGGAGAGACTAACTCCTACAAGTTGTCCTCTGACCTCCAAATGTGCACCATGACACACACACACACAATAATACAGTAAATAAATAAATAATAAATGAAATAAGGATCCTGATGTTTAATATTTTTATCAGTGAAATGAAGATAACCATGATAGTTCAGGGAGCTACTGAGGGGTTAAAGGTGTCATGTAGGTATACTGCTTAGCACAACTTCCAGCCCATTGGTGTGCTGCAAATACAGTTGTGTGTTGCACAATGTTTCAATTAATGATTGACAGCACATCTGATGGTGGGTCTGTAAGGTTATATTGCTTAGTGATGTCATACAATCTTAGTTTGAGTAAGTCTACTCTGTTCCTGTGATGACATCACCTAACAACATATTTACCAGGCTGTGTTCCAGTTGTTAAACAACACACAACTATATTTCTCACACATCCGTCTGCTCTTCTGGGTTGCGAAATTGTGAGGAGAGAGATCATGTTTGAATGACGAATCAGGATTCCAGTAGGCACTCAATCAATGTTTATGGAATAAATTAAAGTCAATCCAAACCTATGGTTGATATTCAATAAATTACAACAGTGGCTCGGATGGCTCAGTCTGTAAAATGCTTGCTGTGCATGGGCCTGAGTTCAGATCTTCAGTACCCATGTGAAAAGCTGAACATGGTGGCATGTGCTTGTGATCCTGGTGCTGCGGAGACCAAGACAGGAGGATCCCTGGGGCTAGCTGGCGAGCCAGTCTAGTTGAATCAGTGAGCTCTGAGTTCAGTGAGAGATCCATCTCAAAAAATAAAGTGGAGAGCAACTGAGGAAGACACCCTCTGGCCTACCCCATGTACTTGAACATGTGTGTGCATGAGTGTGAATGCATGTGTACACACAATTGTAACAACTACAGTAATACCAATAAATACTGGCTTTGGGGGGTGTTGTAGACAGGGTCTCCCTATAGCCCCAGGTGGCCTGGAACTCACTATGTAGACCAGGCTGGCCTAGTTCTCATAGAGATCCTCTTGCCTGTCTCCTGAGTGCTAGGATTAAAGGCATGAGCCACCACACCTGGTAAATACTGACTTTTTAAAAAAAGACTTCAAGTTGGACTAGAGAGCTGGTACAGCCATTAAAGGCCCAGGCTCACAACCAAAAAAGATTTATTTTTATTTTATGTATATGAGTGTCTGCATAATGAATATGTACCATGTGTGTTTCTGGTGCCTGCAGAGTTCAGAACAGAGTATTGGATCCCCTGGAATTACAGACAGTTGTGAGTTTCCATGTGGGTACTGGGAAATGAACCTGGGTCCTCTTCAAGAGCAACAAGTGCTTTTTTTGTTTGCTTGTTTTCGTTTTTTTGAGACAGGGTCTCCCTGTAGCCCCAGCTGGCCTGGAACTTGCTATGTAGACCAGTCTGGCCTTGAACTCACAAAGATCTGACTGCCTCTGCCTCACAAGTGCTGGGATTAAAGGCATGCACCACCACGCCTGGCTTTTTATTTTATTTTTTGCAACAAGTGCTTTTAACTATGTCTCCAGCCCCCGACTCTGCCTCTGTGTGTGTGTATGTATAATTTATTTAGTTTTATGTATGCATGTACATGCATACCATGTGCCTACAGTGCCTATAGAGGCCAGAAGAGGGCATTAGATCTCCTGGAACTGGAGTTATTGATGGTTATTAGCCATCATGTGGGTGCTGGGAACTGAACCCAAGTACTCTAGAAGAGCAGCCAGGTGCTCTTAACCACTGAGCCATGTCTCCAGCCACTATATCCCTTTTTTTATTTGTAATTTTTTTTGAGACAAGGCCTCACTGTGTAGCCCTAGCTGGTCTGGAACTTGCTCTGTAGACAAGGCTGGCCTGGAACTCACAGAGATCTGCCTGCTCTTACCTCCCATGTGCTGGGATTAAAGGCATGCACTACCAACCTACACCACGACACCTGGCTTTTTATTTTTTACTTTTTTTATTATTCCAAAGAGGGGCAATTTTTAACACATTTTTCCAGGAAAACTTGAAGCAGGTTACATAAAAATATATATACAATTAAATTTAAGGGGGGGATAGGAATAAGAAATCAAAGACCAGGGGGCTGGAGTGATGGCTCAGCTGGTTAAGAACACTGATTGTTCTTGCAGAAGACCTGGGTTCGAATCCCAGCACCCACATGGCAACTAACAACTGTCCGTAACTCCAGTTCCAGGGGATCCGACAGCCTCTTCTACCCTCCGTGGGCATTGCACAACACAGATGTGCAATGCAGGCAATACATGCATGCACATAAAATGAAAATAATAAAATATTTTTTAGAAAGGAAAAGAAATCAAAGACCAAAGGATTTGCCAACATGTGGTCAACTTTGGTGGAGTAATGAAGGTTTCCATTAGCTCTGTTCTTTTTTTTAATCCTAACTAGTTTATTGAGCTTGCTAACAGAGCATAGGGTGGGTTTTTTTGTTTTTTTGTTTTTTTAAGCCATCAGTTGGGAGTCTAATTGCAACACTTTCCCAAAGAGATTATAAACCTTTGGAAACACCAATCATAATCATATCTTCAGCATATTGTATATCTAAAAGTACCTGATACAGTGCCAGGCACGCACATGCCCAGTGATTACTGGGCGGCAATACCAGTATTTAGGGGAATGAAGGACCCCTGGATGATCAGCCACAGTAACAGCTGAGGGAGACTATGTCATTTCGTGAAACTCATATTAACTTCTCTCATTCTCCAAAGGAGTGCCCAACCCCATGGTGACACTGAACAAAAAAGAGGAAATAGAAGGTGGAATTGTGACAGTCAATTGTTCTGTGCCAGAAGAAGAGCCGCCAATATATTTTATAATTGAAAAAAATGAACTTGATGCAAAAATTGTCAAGCAAAGAAGAGAGAAGAATTCAAACCAGAATTTTGTGATCATGGAATTCCCAATTGAGGAGCAGGACCATCTTTTAGTGTTCACCTGTCAAGCCAGGATCATGTCTGGAATCCAGCAGCAGACCTCTGAGTTCACCAGGAGTGAATTTGTCACTGTGCGGGGTCAGAATCCTGCTGTCCTTATTCTTTGTGGTATAGGGTGGGTGCAGCTAATTAGAGCCCAGAATTGGAGAGAAGGCTGAGCCTTCTATCTGGGAGGCTGCTCTTCAGGCTTAAAACCTGCTCTCCCCAGCCCAGCATGGTAGTGCATGCCTTTAATCCCAACATTCAGGAGGCAGAGGCAGGCCGATCTCCGAGTTCAAGGCCAGCCTGGTCCACATAGTGAGCTCGAGGCCAGCTGGGGCTACAGGGAGACCCTGTCTCAAAAATACCCCTCAAGAAAAGATAGTGTCTGAGGAATGATACCCAAAGTTGACCTCTGGCCTACACACACACACACACACACACACACACACACACACAAACACTCTTCCCCTCAAAAAATATTAGAATAGGAACTAAACTTGTGTCCAATTGACTTGTCCTCTTTCTTGCAGAGTCATTCTCCACTCCCAGGTTCCACATCAGTCCCCGTGGAATAATCACAGAAGGAGATCAGCTCCAAATGAAGTGCACAGTTCAAGTGACACACTTAGTCCAGGAGTATCCAGAAATTATAATCCAGAAGGGCAAGACGATTGTGGCCACCACCAAACATAGCAATGAGGCTGTCTACTCAGTGATGGCCTTGGTGGAGCACAGTGGCCACTACAAGTGCAAAGTAGAATCCAACCGCATCTCCAAGGCCAGCAGCATCGTCCTCAACATCACAGGTAGGGTCACTGAGGGAGGCTGCTGGCAAATGGCTGGGTGTGTTGGCACTTGTCTGTAACACTGGCTGAGTGTCACAGACTGAGGCAGGCTGAGGCAGGAAGATCACGAGTTCAAGGCAAGCTTTGAACTCTAGTGACACCCTGTGCTGCAATCCAGGCTGGTCAATGGGAGCCCATGCTTCGTCTGCCCAGTTTGTCTGAATGGATGGGTTCAGGCTAGGCTTTGGGGGTGTGGGGAAGAGTCAATGTACAGCAGTCTGCTGTGGTGACTGAGTGTGTGGGTGCTGGTACTAACCCATCCCTGTTGCTCACTATTTATATGACTTTGGGTTTGTTCTTGACTTTGCTTCAGCTATGTGAGATGGAATAACAGGATGCTCACCTTATAGGACTATTACAATATTTAAATGCACTAGCTATGCTCTACATCTAGTGCGTGTTAGTTCTCTTAGTTTAACTTTCTACTGTGCCAAACTCCTCCTCTTCCTCCTTCCTCCTCCTCCTCTTCATCCTCCTCCTCCTCCTTTTAATATTTTATGTGTATGAGTGTAATGCCTGCATTTAGGTAGGTGCACTCATATTGTACAATGCCTGCAGAGGTCAGAAGAAGGTGTTGGATCCTCTGGAACTTGAGTTACAGACAGTTGTTAGCCGCCATGTGGTCCTGGGAATTGAACCTGGGTCTTCTGCAAGAGCAGCCAGTGCTCTTAACCATTGAGCCATCTCTCCAGCCACCACCACTCCTTTTTACAGACAAGTTCTCATGTAGTTCATCCTGGCTTTGAACCACTGATCTTGCTGCTTCCATCCCCTAAGTGCTATGTAGGATTCCAGGTGTGCACCACCATGCCCAGCAGCATAGTATATTAAAAATAATAATAATAGGGCCGGGCGTGGTGGCGCACACCTTTAATCCCAACACTTGGGAGGCAGAGGTAGGCGGATCTTTGTGAGTTCAAGGCCAGCCTGGTCTACATAGTGAGTTCCAGGACAGCTGGGCCTACAAGAAGACCCTGTCTCAAAAAAGACAAAAAAAAAAAAAATAATAACAATAATAACAGGCTGGGCATAGTGGTATACACCTTTAATCCCAGCACGCAGGAGGCAGAGGCAGGCGGATCTCTGTGAGTTCAAGGCCAGCCTGGATTTGATAGTGAGTTCCTGGCCAGTTGGGGCTACAGTTGGGCCTGTCTCAAAAAGACCAAATAATGGTAATAATCATAATAATAATAATAATAATAACAATTTAGCGGGGTGCAGTGGCACATACCTTTAATCTCATCCCTCAGCAGGTGGATTTCTATAAGATCAAGGCCAGCCTGGTCTATATAGCAAGTTCCAGGCCAGCTGAGGCTAAAGGGAGACGATGTCTCAAAAAACCAAATAAGTGAAAAAATAAAAATAATAGTAACAGTTTCACATTGTTGAATACTGTGTAATGGATTTATATATGGTTTTATTTCATGCTCAAATCACAATTCTAGGAGGTGTCATGAGATCTTTATGATGTGAAGACTGAGACTGGAATGGTAATAACTCAACTTTACAAAGTCACTCAAGTAGCAGAACAAGAGACACCCCAGGCCTGTTTGATTTTCAAACCCAATGCGCTTAGACCTTCTCCCAGACTCCTAATCCTCCTTCCCTGGCTTTATGTTTCTCTGAAATACCCCTAAAGATACATTCTGCTTTTCTTACTTTTCTGTATTATTCGGCTACTAGAATGTGTGCTGCTGAGAGCAGAAACAATAACTGTTGTTCAGCTGCTAGAGCAGCGCCTAGGCACAGTAGGAATGTAGTCCTGTGCTAGATGAAGGACGGAGTGTTAGAGGATTGGGTTTCCGAAGTGGAGTGAAAGGTTTATTCGTGCCTGCATTCATTTATTTATTCATTCACTAATTTCCTAAAAGCCCTTGGTGCCGAGCACTGAGTGTGTAGTCACAGTCACAGTCCCCAGTCTCATTGGTAGGTGGGCTGACAACTATCCAGTTGGGTAATTGGCACAATACATTAGATCCTGGTGTACATGTAGAGTGTGACGGTGCATGTCAGTAATTTAGTGAATGATTGATAAGGACAAATATTTGAGTGCTCATGATTCTCTCGTTAGAGAAAACTATCAATTTGCCATGTGTTGAGCATACTCTATATGCTGGGAAAGCTGAATGGAGATCTAAGAGGCTTTGCATTTAAGGACTTCAGATATAAATGGACTGATCTATGCCTGTTTGTTATATGCACAATGAACTTAGAAATGCTGCTAAGGACACTTTGTCCAGGCAACTGCCTATGAAAACTTCCTCCCAGAGACTGTTTCCTTAATTCCCTCAGGGCGAAGTTCAGTTTCCCTTCGGTGGACTCTGCTGCAAACACTGTCTGAAATGACCAATAGACGTAAGCACTTAGAAGTCAGGGACTCACAGCTATCTCCCCAACACCTAGCAAAAGGTCTCTCTTGCAACAAATCTTGTAGAAGCCAGGTATGGTGGCACATACCTGCAGTCCCAGTGCTTGGGAGATGGAGACAGAAAAATCAGAAGTTCAAGATTGGGCTGAGCGTGGTGGCGCACACCTTTAATTCCAGCACTCTGGAGACAGTAGCAGGCCAATTTCTGTGAAATCAAGGCCAGTCTGGTCTACATAGCAAATTCCAGGCCAACTGGGGTTACAGGGAGACCATATCTCAAAAAACAAAACAAAAGGAAGTTCAAGGTCATCCTTAGCTATATAGCTAGTTCACAGCCTGTCTCAACGAATGATTGATTGCATGAAGAAATAAATAAATCCTTGTGAGTGCAATGTATGTGTAAACAAATGAGTGAATTCCTAAATCCCTGCTGCATGGTTAGTTGCAAACTTTTTTTTACCCATGTCTGTGGAATCACTTGGTTCAGTGATTGAGAAGAACCTGCACTGTGGGCTAGGTGTATGGCTCAGCATGTTAAGTGCTTGCCCTGCAAGCCTGACAGCCTGAGTTCAATCCCCAGAACCCATGTAAAGGTGGAAGGAGAGAACTGACTACACAAAGTTGTCCTCTGACTTCCACACGCATGCCTTGGCTTGAGTGCACCTCCTTGCTCCATGTGAAAATCATGTACACACCATAACAAATAATAAATATATAAACAAATAACCTGTCCTGGCATCTCAGGTGTAGAATAAGTCCTGGATCTTTGAAGCCATGCCCATGTATATGAGAGGAAAGTTTTTTTGTTTGTTTTGTTTTGTTTTTTGCAGGAAGGTAGGAATTGCTTCTGCTGAAAGGAGCTGAGTGGTCTACAAGCCTCTCCAGGCAGAGGATTGGGTTGGTGTCCAGACATGCTTCATCCCCCTTTCGCTGTTTTTCAGAATTATTTCCCAAGCCAAAGCTGGAGTCTTCCTCCAGTCTTCTGGACCAAGGCAAAAGGTTGAGCCTGTCATGCTTGGTCCCAGGCACACCTCTGGCCAACTTTACCATCCAGAAAGAAGATATGATCCTGTCACAGGATCAGAATTTCAGCAAGATTGCTGAAGAGAAGGACAGTGGGGTGTACACCTGCACTGCAGGCATTGGCAAAGTGGTCAAGAGAAGCAGTGCGGTGCAGATCACAGTGTGTGGTGAGTATGTCCTCAGATGCTCAGATAACAGGTAGGACTGAATGGGGGTACAGAGTGGATGACCAGTCACCATCATTGCAGTCTCCAAGGCTGGCCAGATTCAAACAGATCAAGAACTCCAGGGAAGGCTGGCAAGATGGCTCAGTGGGTAAAGGCACTTACTGCCAAGCCTGATGACCTGAGTTTGATCCCAGGGATCCACGTGGTGGAAGGAGAGAACGGACCTAGGCAAGCTGTGCTCTCACCTTAACATGCATGCTGTGGAATGTGCATGTGCACAGGTGTATACACACACACACACACACACAAATTAAATAAATAAATAAAGTGTTTAGAAAAAAAAAAACAGGGCTGAAGAGATGGCTCAGCGGTTAAGAGCACTGACTGCTCTTGCAGAGGACCCAGGTTCGGTTCCTAGCACCCACATGGCGGCTACGAACCGTCCTTAACTCCAGTTCCAGGGGAATC